TTTATTTATCGTATTTATTTTAAATGTATAAATAATTATCTTTGATACATGGTACAATTCATATGTTAAAGCAAAGAAACAATAATTGATTTTAATCTTATACAATTATTAACATATATATCATTAAATTAATAAAGAGAAATTAATATTAACATTTTTGACAACAACTGATTTTTTGTTATTATTTTATACAGCGTTACATAACAAATATAATAGTAGTAAATCCCACACGTACATAGACGTTGGTACTTACATCGGACTTGATTACGTAGTTGGTACGCTGACTGGATATTTATCTACTGATGTAGTGAATGTAAGTTGTCATGAAGTAAATATTTCGATTTAATTTTAATTATAATTTATAAAAATTTTTTTTAAGGAACCATTTGTGTTTGTTTTATAGATTGCTGGCGTTAGTATTCAAAATCAAACATTCACAGAAGCGATAACATCGGATCCGATTTTTACCTTTCTGGCATACGATGGAATCTTAGGAATGGGTTATCCCGAGATATCTACAAAAGGTGTGCCTCCCGTTTTCACCAGCATGATTGAACAAGGGCTAGTGTTGGCACCTATTTTTAGTTTTTATCTAAATCGGCATGTATATCTCTTTATGTCTAAAAATATTCTTTCATTTAAACGGTTCGCCTTCCTATATTACAAAATTTTGTCTTTTTTATAAACAATATTTTTAATATTAAAAAGAACATAATGTGTACAGACATTATTATGATAGTGAACTGATATTGGGTGGTTCCGATCCTATTTATTGCAACACCGAATTCACTTACGTTAATGTAACCCACAAAGGATACTGGAAATTTGCCATGGATAAGTATGTTATTATTTTTTAAACTACATATACACATATATCAACAGATTATATATCAGCTAATTTAATGCTGTAGGATTAAAATGGAACACGTGGTTTTATGTGCGGATGGCTGTGAAGCTATCGCCCACACTGGTTTTCCGGGATTATCTGGACCAGCAGCAGATATCGAATTTATTAACAACCAAATAGATGTATTAAAACGAATTGGAATTCCTCATTATGGCGGAGAAATACTTGTAAGTAAATGATAAATTTTCCAATGGCATCTTTTTTTTAATGATACTGAATAAATTACTGAAATAAATTAATAAATGTCTTATTTGTTACCGTTGACAATAATATGGATTATTAATACTATGCTTTGTTATGTTATTGATTATATTAATATGGATTACTATTAGGTATTAAACTTTGTTTAAAGGTGGACTGCAATCATATTTCTGAGCTGCCCAATGTTACTTTCTTTCTGAGTGGTAAACCATTCATACTCACTGCACAAGATTACATCAATACCAGAATGGTAAATATAGTTAAATAAAGGTTAAAATTTCTGATCACTCACCATGAACCTTTAGATTGCTGATTTCAGAAGCGATAAAATACATGAACATTTATGCAAAAATATATTAAATTGAATGCATTTTTCAAGATAATAATTTGCATTTATTGAATACATTTAAAAAAATATATATATACTGACTTTCTCGCAAATTATATAGATTATTTTATTTTCTCGTTATAATTCAATTTCAATTATAAAGTTATTTATTGATTTTACTATAATACATAGAGAGGTTTGAGTATACTTTACAAATATGTCGAATGCAATGTCATTTTATTAAAAAACATTTTATTGTAATTTGCAATGCTTTTTTAATGTATTTTCTCGCTTTTAATGCCGCAATATAAGATAGTTATGAATAGACACAAGAGCTGTAAATTGTTGTGTAATTGTTTTAAAATAAAACATGCCATGATCAATTTGTTGTAGATTGAATCGAATAAAACTATGGCATGTACAAGCAGTTTCGTAGATTCCACGGAATATTTGGATGTTGAGAATACTTGGATTTTAGGTACTCCATTTCTTAATCAGTTTTATACTGAGTTTGACATGGAGAACAACCGAGTGGGATTTGCGCATGCAAAATATTTGAATTACACATACTCCCAATCATAATCAGTTTTATGCTGAGTTCGACATAGGGAACGACTGAGTGGAATTTGCGCATGCAAAATAAGTATTGTTTTTTCAAGAAATTATTATAAATGCTAGAAGATTATAGGAAATAATGAACAAATTATTTTCTTGCAACGTTTTTAGAATTTTTTTTTTTAGATTATTTTGTTTCTTAATTCTTATAGTTATTGCGTTCAAATTTTTATTTGGGGTTATTTAAGCCTTAACTGCATTCTTGGATAAATTGTGTGATATAATTTAAAAAAGTAAAATGATGTTGTGCGTTATTATTGCTATCATCGTTTGATACAATCAATTCTTCTTGCATAATATATCGTATTATAATATCGTTTATAATATCGTTTATAATATCGTATTGTCACATGATATTATAAATATAATTCTGTTAATCTTAATTTCTCTCTTTTGTTTAATAAAATATAAAATTGTATGTAATTTTTTAATGCCAACTCTGCATTTGTAAACTTATCTAAAATCTAAAGCAATAAACTATCTTCGGCCGTAGTTAATATCGATTGCATCTTACGTTTCTAGGAAATGTTAATAATATATATTTTTAAAAATAATATTGTGTTATTAAGCTTATATATTATAACTAAATAATTTGTTTAAACTTAAGGAATGAATAGAAAATAATGACTAAAACAGTGTTGCTATTTTTGCAGATATCCTCATTCATCTCTTTATTATCCCACTTCTTTTGTAAGTACATAAAATATATACTTATATAGATTACACAATACCTTTCTGATCAACTACATTTGCAATATCGTTCAAGTACAATCTGGAAGTATTATAGAATCTATTTTTTTATCTGCGTTACTTGCATATCGATTTAATTTTTTTTTTATTTTTATTTTTACGCGTAAATTCGAAAGTGCACAAATCATAATTGCTTTCCGGTTGTTTCTTTTTTTTATTACTTATCGATATTTCACTGTTATTATCAGGTAATTCATTTTCTGTTGTATTTACTTTTTTTATATATGGAATATATCATCTACTTTTATTTGGACACAACTGTACCATCTACTTTACTACATAATTTAAATTTTATATATTTTAATATGATATGCGAGACTCTTGAGTGAATTTGAATTTATAGACTCAATTCTTTAGTTTATACCAAGGAATAAACCACTGCAGGCATTGCAATGTACAGATTTGGAGCATTACTAGACATTCTTTAAGAGAATTGTGTATTATAATAAGGGATTATATGTACATTATTGATAAATATGAAATATTATTAAGGCATTAATAGACATAAAAAATTGTTTATTACTTGGGTATTATTTGAGCATTATTGGGCATTAGGAGACATTGATGTACAATGATTTATCCCTTAGTTACATCGTTTTATTTTTCAAAATTTAATTTTTAATTTAATATCGTATTGTATAATAGAATAAAATATATATATTTCTCAATTATCTTTCATCAACCAACTATTTAATTGGTTTACGTTTGAAGAACTCTTTTCACTTGACGCTTCGTTGAAAAACACATTTTACATTGATGTATAAGATTGAATATAATGCTGAGAATAGCCCAAAGCGAGCCAAATCATCTAATTCTGTAATTATGTTTAAATCATCAAATTATATATTGTTTTTAGATAAATTTTTGCGTATTGTTTAGCTCGTTGACTTTCAGTTGCTCTTGTTATTCTAATCACATGTTTCTGTATCAATATTTTTGTAAGCTTATCCTATCAAACCTAAGACAAACGATGCATACTTTAAAGATTAATACGTGGGTGAATTAAATATAAACGAGAATTTTTCCTTATTTATTAGGCGAGAATAAAAATATAAAGGAAACAAATTATTTTTCTATATAGTACTCTGTTACATTAATATATTTTTGCCAGCGGATAGCCACTTTGGCGATCCCGTTTTCATAAAAAGTAATAGGCGTCTGCAGCTAATTGCGCAAGAATTCCTCTCCACTGATACCGAATCGTATTGTTTTCTCAATTCTTCTTTCAGTAATACAAACAAATGATAATCGTATGGAAAGATTTGTCTCAATATCATGTTTGATCCGCTAAAAGAATGGAGAGGCTTCTTGGACAATGCCAGTATAGAGGAAATCGCTGCAGACACAACCTACTACTCTTTATGAAAACGGGATCGCTAAACTGCTTATCCGCAGGAAAAAATCAATATAGCAAGGAATTATATAATAAAATAATTTATTTTCTTTATATTTTTATTCTTGTCTAATAAATAATAAAAAAAAATTTTCATTTATATTTGATCCACCCTCGTATCTTTTTTACTAATCAAATTTATTCAAATACATTGAATCATGCGTATATGCTAAATGTGAGTGTGTACAAATGCGAACCATATTTTTTAAAAATTTATTATAGATTCGATTAACGAAAAGTACTAAGGTCACTTTTGAAATGTTTCGCTCGTTTCGTCCTTCCTCTTACCCTTCTCAACACAAACATATAAGCTCTTATATAAATGGCACTGAGAACGCTAATGATTGATTTCATTTTCGTTTGTGTCTTGATTGTGAACTGATTTGGAAAAGAATTCCAATATCTCTGAAACCTTCTTACATTTAATCGCTAGACAATTCAGAAAACATGTTTCGAATCTTCTTTGCAGTTGCCGCACTCGTCGTACTGATCAATTCGGAATTGCATAGGTGAGCATGTGTAAACATTGATTTACAATAAATATTTAAACCATAATTAAAACACAATTGTACTTTGTGTGTTAGAATAATGTGGACAGATAAAAAAATGCCTCAAATTTCTTTGAGGCTTACAATTTATTTTTCTTTACATTTTAAGTGAAATATATGAACGGAAAAGTTTGAATCTAAAATATATAATGTTATTTGATGGAGAGGCTTTGTTTACCTACAAAACGATAGTCTAGCTTCATTTGCATACAACATATTGCACACACAACGTTATTGGTTTAGTGTACATTGTGCATTTAATACGCTCACTAACTGATAACTTTTTATTGAATTATTCTATTTTTATAACTATGTATTTAAAGAATGATGTACTGGATTGGTACAATATGCATCAAAATGATTACTTAAATACACATATCATGTATATGTTTGTACATTTCGCCGAAATTAAGATAATTTATTAAAAAATTACTAGTTAGTGTCTATATCAAGAGCTTGATGTAAATTAGACCAATAGCGTCGTGTGTGCAATGTACTGCGTGTAATTCTATCGTATGTGCAATAAGCTGTGTGCAATATTGCCATGTGCAAACAAAGCTACAGGTAATCATTTTATAGGCAACCGGATCTTCCCTATTTGCGTAAATATATTAATGCAGATTGCCTTTGATTAAGACTTATGTAATATTTAGAAATAAAAAGTAATTAAATTAAATTTAAAGATGATTGATCAATTTATATAAAATTCGTATATATTATACATATGTTATGCGATATTCATATATATCTGTTCATATTTGTATTTTTATAAAACATATATATGCGTACAATATAACAGAATTTTTAAACTGTTGTTTTAAGAATTTCGTTGCACAAGACCTCTGTTCGAAAATCGATTGGCATCGCTTATCGACAGGATAATTTGACGTTTGCTAGCATAGTAAGGGAACCACTACTCAATTTTCGGAATACTCAATACTATGGCGTTATTTCAATTGGAACTCCACCGCAAAAATTTAAAGTACTTTTCGATACTGGTTCCGCTAATCTTTGGGTACCATCCGTACATTGTGACCTTGAAGACGTAACTTGCTGTAAATATTATAACATTATTTTTTCAATATTGTATTTATATTTATATTTATGTTCGTATACAATAAAAAGGGAAAATTTGTACTAATTGGAATTGGGATTGCAAACCGTGCGCTAATGTTTGAATAAATAATATTTAATTTTAAACTATTAAAAACATTTCTTATAATAATGTTAATATTAAGTATTATATATTCGTAATGCCACACCTAACAGAATTTCTATAAAGTACAATATAATATTCGTTTACACAGTTAAACAAATTGATACTGTATGAATATAATTTTAAGAGAAAATTAAATATAATACCTTGTATTTCACTTATATATATAAATTAACAAAGTGAAATTTATTTTTAGCACTTTTAACAATAACTTATTTACATTTATGTAATATCTTTTACAGTGTCACATAAAAAATATAATAATCGAACTTCTCGCACGTACATACCAAATGGTACTTTATTCGATATACAATACGAATATGGTAGACTGTCCGGATACTTATCTACTGATGTAGTAAATGTAAATCATCGTTAATAAACAGTACGATTTAGTCTACAAAAATTTCTTTAAAGACATAAATTTTTTTGTAGGTTGCTGGTCTTAATATTATAAATCAAACATTCGGGGAAGCAATAATTGAACCAGGAATAGCTTTTCTCTATGCAAAATTCGATGGTATCTTAGGAATGGGTTACCCTAATATATCTATTTTAGGAGTAACTCCCGTTTTTACCAATATGGTTCAACAAGGCCTGGTGTCGCCACCAATTTTTAGTTTTTACTTAAATCGGTATGTATCTCTTCATATGTGTCGCGCGTTTAAAAGTTCGTATAAAAACGCGTCTATAAATTCGTATTTTTTTATTTAAATAAATTGTTATCTCATATAGCAAAATTTGTCTTTCCACGTTAAAAATATGGTTTTTTTCATATTAAAAGATATATAATATGTGCAGAACTTTGTTTATGATGGACAATAATGATCTGACATTGGATAGCTCCACTCATTACGACAACGAGTATGTTAATATCATTCGAACACGCCAGCATGTTTGACAATATTTTTTTTAGTTAAATAGCTTATTTTCCAATACTACATAATTTATCTTTTATTAATAATACTATGTTTTTTTTCATTAAAAAATATATATAATTCAATTAAAAATATATATAATCTGTACAGAAATCTGTTGGATCCTTCGGCCGGTAGTGTACTAATATTGGGAGGCTCTGATCCCGCTCTTTATGACGGCGAGTTAACATATGTTAATGTTACTCGTAAAGGATATTGGCAATTTGCTATGGACAAGTATGATATTATTTTCTAAATTATACATACATTATTTGCGGATTATATATGAGATGATTATTAATGTCGCACTATAGAGTTCAAATGGAAAATGAAACCTTATGTGCAAATGGTTGTCAAGCTATCGCCGACACGGGCTTTTCTCGACTAGCTGGACCACCAACGGACATTGCAATTATTACTAGCCGGATTTCATTTGATGAATTTAACGGAGTAGTATATGTAAATTATATATGATATTTTTCGCAATGGCAATTTTCTTTTAACAATATTTAATAAATTACTGAAATAAATCAATGGAAGTTTGATATGTTATTGGTTATATTAATATGGATTATTAATAGGTACTAAACTTTGTTTAAAGGTGGACTGTAATCAGATTTCTAATTTGCCCAATGTTACTTTTTTCTTAAGTGGTAAACCATTCGTACTCACTGCAGACGATTACATCATTGTGAGAACGGTGAATATTGTCAAATGAACATTTAAGACTTCTATAAATACTCAGATACTATAGATCTTTAGATTAATGACGTCAGAAGCGAGAAAACTTATTATGAAAATTCTAAAATATATTAAAATAAAAATATTTATCAAGAAAATAATATTTTTTAGAATAAAACAATATTTGATAAAATACATTTGTAAAATATACCAAAAAGTCTTTTTATTTTGAAATAGGATAAAATCATATTTATCTTAATTCGACAGCGACACTGTCGTTTGTTTCAATTTTTGATAGTTATATTTAATTTCAAATATATGATTATTTATTGATTATCAGAATACAAAGAAAATTTTTTATATATTTTACAAATTTATTCTCTATTGATTATAAATATTTTATTAAAAATACTCATATATTATTATAATTTTCAAAAATTCTTTGTGTATTTTCTCGCTTTTGATGTTACAATCCATTGATTGTTGTGAATAGCCAGTGCTAATTGTTTTAGAATAGAAACATTAAATAACATTAAATAATTCATTATAGATTAATGATGATGATAATGGTGAGGATATACCGGTATGTTATAGCGCCTTCGAAATTGCGGCTCAGAGTGAGTTTGGTATGATATGGATTTTAGGTGATTCATTTCTTGGTCGGTATTATACTGAATTTGATATGGGGAACGATCGCGTAGGATTCGCTCCCGCAAAATAAATAATGTCATCCTACTAAAATATTTTTAAATTCTAGCTAGAGTATATAAATGACAATAATATAATATATAAATATTAAAAATAAGTTAAACTTTTTTAGAGCATTGAGTCTTTATTCTTATGCTTATTAATTGCTATTTAATTATGCGTTGTAATTTTTATTTGTAATTAAGCGATACATTGTTATATAAATACATATGTAATATTTTAGAAAATTATTATTAGAACGAAAAGATGTTTGGTATCATTTTTATCAATTATTTTGAACAACCTATTTTTTCAGTATAATAAAATATATGTTATATGATAAGTATATAATTGAGATTATTAAAATAAAGTATATATATATGTACATTCTTTTTATATATTATATATTGATTTCATATATCGATCCTTCAATTTTATTTAATATATTATTCTAAAAAATATTATTTTATATATTATAAATTTTCTTTTTTCATACATATATGTAAATGTAAATGTAAAACGCTATATCCGATCAAGGAAGTTTTTTGTGCCTAATAATATTTCCTAATAATATATAAATTTATGCAATTTTTAGTTCAAACAAATTTCTTTTTTTTTACACACGTATTGTTTTAAATTTAGTATTATTTTTTTTAAGAGTAAAAGTATGAGCCAAATACAAACATATCAAATATTAATAAAATTGGAAACAATAAGATTGGAAATATATCAAATATTATAGCTTCCATAAAATAAAAAACGTATTTATTTTCTTAATAAATGTTTTAAATATAATTATTAAAAAATTGATAACAAATGTACGAAATCACTGTAATTAATAAAGTATCTCATTACTTAAGATAAATATCAACAAATGACATTTTAAATTATTTAAAAATAGAAATATCATGCTGCGTTCAATTTGTTATAGCTCGAACAAAATAATCAGAAAAAGTGTATAAGCGCTTTTGAGAAGGCGGATCTGAGCATATATTATATAAGAAATCGATGTGAATTTTGGGTAATGTATTTCTTTATCGGGGTACTATACCGAATTTGACAAGGGGAACGATCGAATTGGATTCGCCAATACAGACGTTCATATTTTTTCAGAATTTTATACAAATAAATGTTGAAAAATTTAAATGACAACAATAAGCGAATTGAGATAAATTTTATAGAACATTGATTCCTATATTTATTACCTTCCTTTGTACCTTTATACTTCAAACGCGCGTATTTAAAAAGTTTACATCAACTAAATACTATTGTAGATAATGCTAAATTAAATACTGCGAAAGAAGATATTAAAAGAATTATTTTGATGCATATAAAAACTAGTATTTTAGAGCGCTTATTGTTTGTAAGTTGCAGAAACTGATCTTAATATAATGTTAATATATAGTGCTACTTCTCTATAATAATAAAAGAAGAACATATGTTGTCAAGGCCATGAACCTGAGTGACCTTCAATAAATTCATGACATTGTGTCGTCGCTCGTCCTTCATCAAAAAGTTATTAAAAAAAAATTTATTAAATAACGTTTTATTTCTATTATATAGTACATATACAGTATTAAATACTAGTTTATACTTTCCCTTATTTCTACGCAAAACGATTCTCATCCCACTCTCCCCCCTCCTCCTGGTCGAGGGCGCACGACTTCCATGCGAAGCAACTTTTTTATTTTTAAAGCAGTGACTTTGTAGAAACACTAAGTTACTGCTTTAAAAACACAAATTCATTACTTTACAAACAAATTTACTATTTTTCAAATTCATTGCTTTACAAACAAGTTAACTGTTTTAAAAATAAAAAAAATTATAAAATAATTTATTTTTGAAGTGCTAAATTTATTTGTAAAGTAGTAAATAAAACTTTTTTGTTACAAACTTTTTAACGGAGGACGAGCGACGGTTGGAGGGACACAATATATGCCAAGATCAAGAGAATCGGAGCTGCTTTCGTTATTCTATATTTACCAAAGTGACTTTAATATATGTATTATATATAATTTAATTTTTCGTAAAAATGACACTATACTACGAATTTAAATATGTAAATCTATTTTTATGTGAAAAACTAATCACATACATATTGAAGTCACTTTATACACATTTGCAGTATACTCTTCGTATGTGACTGCGCGATTCAAGTACGAGAAGTTTAACATTCGTTTCAGCTATATAAAGATATGAATATAATGAATGAATATAATGAAATAATATAATTTCTGATAATTTAATCCAATTTTTGATAATTTTAATCGAAAATATATTAACATAAGAATTCTAAATAAACCTATTATAAATTTACATAAGAACGCGAATCGCAGATCGCAAACTTCTTGTATTAGCCAATCTCGAAGCGTTACTTTTAAAATTGACGCATCGGATTACTTTAGAACTCTTTAAGCATTCTTTCTGTTGTCCTTCTCGCTCTCTTAAATTCGTAAACGTAAACACGTACTTCAGCTATATAAACCGAATGTTATGAACAGATTCGAAAGAGAATTACCACGTTTTTAGAATCTTCTTGGTTATTGTAGCTCAATCAGGCAATTGAGAAACATGTTTCAACTTTTCATGGCGGTAGCGATACTTTCTGTGTTGATCAACGCAGAATTGCAAAGGTGAGCGTATATAAACGTTAACTCGCGATGAATACTTTAACAATAATTAAAATAAATTTATAGAAAAAACGATCATTGTGTCAGAGTAAAGAAATGCTTCTGAAGAATTTTTTTGGGAATTATGTTCTTATCTTCTTTATATTATGTCTTAACTATTTTATCATGTCTTAACTTATATTAATGTCACGAAAGAAATAATTTCTATTTAAAATAGCTAAATAGCATACGATACGTAAATAGATAAACAGATAGCATTTATTTTTTAATACCAAAATGTTGCGACTATAACAGTTTTTAAAAATAAGTGGTGTTTGAAGATAATAAATTTGTTTGAAAGTTGTACGTAACATACACTCTATGATATTCGTATATTATATATTTGTACATTCGAATATATGATACTACATATATACGTAAAATATAATTAAATTTTCTTGATGCTTCAAGAACTCCGCTGTACGAGACAGACTCTACTCGAAGATCGATTGACATCAATCATCGACAAAGTCGTTCGGATATGAAAAGTCTTGTTATAAGAATAAAATTGCGAGATGATCACGAAAATTCTTTTTTTGGCTATATATCAATTGGATCTTATCCACAATATTTTAAAGTATTTTTTGACACTAATTCCTCAAATTTCTGGATACTATCTAAAAACTGCCATAGTAATACTCCTGTTTGCTGTAAGTATTTTTACATTGTTATTTATTTCTTTGATATTTTATTATTTGTACTAATATATTTGTATCTATTAATATTATATTTTTACATATGAAAATAATTTTAAATACATTTTTTATTTTAATGATTGAGTTAAAGTAAAAATATATAATAGAAATAATGCAATATTGTTAATTATTTTCCATCTACATTCCAAAGCTGCGTTCGGAAACGTTACCTGGATGTATTATCTTATTCTCGTTTGATATTGGATAAGCAACAAGGATAAAACGATGTATTGAGGCATTCTGATAGCGTTTCTGAACAAATCCCAAGTAAAATTTTTAAGTTTTAAATGTTAAAGTCTTTCTTACGTAAATATTATGGAACTGAGTTTTATAATAACATGCTGTTTATTTGACATATATCACGCTAATTCTAAAGATACAAGTAGTATTTGGTACAACTCACATATTGTAACAAAAGATATAAATAAATTATTTAATTCAAAATATTGTTAAAAATACGTATATTTAAATTAACGGAATAAAATTAATTTTTGGCGTCTATCTCTCTCTCTCTCTCTCTCTCTCTCTCTCTCTTTCTATTAAATATTATGTTTTTAAGAACTTCTTTTTATAGATTCAAATATGAATTATGATAATAGCAAATCGACGACATACATACCAAGTAATACTTCATTCGATATTGAATACAATGGTAATGCTATCTCCGGATATTTATCTACTGATATAGCGTATGTGAGTCAAGCAAATTCCACTTAACCACAATTTTAATCTATGAAAGTTTTCTTAAAAATATATTAATTTTTTGTAGTTCGGTTTTATTAACCCAATTGCTATTCAAAATCTTACATTCGGAGAAGCAATAAACTATAAAGGGCGATTACCGATTAGCCCGAATTATCAAGGAATCCTGGGATTGGGTTATTCCACATCAGCTACAGGAATTCCCGTTCTTACTAACATGGTTCAACAAGGTCTGTTGTTACGACCTATTTTTAGTATCTATATGAAGAGAGAGTATGTATTTTTCGTATATGTTACGTGCGTCTATATTAATGTCTTCTCAGGGAGTTATCGTTAAATGTTAAGAGATTTAATTGTCAACATTTTTTTTACTTAAACAATTTGGTTTTCTACATTAGAAATATTTTTCTATATTAAAAAATATATTGTTTAATGTGTTATTAACTCCAACTTATGATGTGGCTTTATGATCGATTTTTACCTTTATTATAATATTGATTTTTCCAACGTTTTTAATTGTAGGAATTTTATATATTTAATTTATTTCTAAACTTTTAATTTATTTTTTATTGTAAAGAGCAAGGTAGTTATGACATTGTTTAGCTGTGACAATCGCACATAGATTATTATATTCAGCGATCAATAATTTTCGTCTATGTGCTATATTACACATAGCATAGACGTGTATATACATATTTTAGTTACTTATTGTTAGATATTTGCATTTTTCAATTTTCCTCTTGGCTATATTGATTATATTTGCTCTATCTTAATTATTTGGCTGAAGAAGACTTAATATAATCGAAACATTCCATGCATAAATTATTAATAAATTACTGAAATTACTTAATTATTTGTTGATGTTTTAATAAACTAGTTTCTTTGATCCAATTAATTGCTCGTTTATTTGATCAATTTTATTAAATAATGTATAATCTATAGACTCCCGACATCTGTAGAAGTTGGTGAACTAATACTTGGTGATATCGATGACAGTCTTTATATAGACAAATTGACAAATGTTAATGTTACTCGCAAAGGATACTGGCAATTTAACATGAATAGGTACGTGATTATTTTTTAAATTACACTTACATATGCTAATCACGTGCTATATGTTAGTTAATTTTTAATGCTATCGTACTTTAGAGTTCAATTAGGAAATAATATATTATGCGAGAATGACTGTCAAGCTATTATCGATTCGAGCAACTTCCGGATATCTGGACCGCCATCTGCTATCGCAGTTATTAATAAATATATCAGAACTATTAGTCTTACCGATCCTAATATTGTATGTAATAGATGACATTTCTTGCAATAGTAATTCTCTTTTAATAATACTAAATAAACCACTGACATAAATTATTGTAATAATAAATAGTTATATATTACTGGTTATATTAATAGATATGAATTGATAATACTTAGTTTCGTTTAAAGGTGGATTGCAAACAGATTTATAAGTTGCCCGATCTCTATTTTATCATAGGTGGAAAAGTATTCGAACTTACTAGCGAAGACTATATGGTTAAGGTAAATATTGTTAAATAGCGCCGAGACATTACCGTGTCTTTAAATAATGCTTTAAATTTGCTTTAGAATACATAGAAATATCATAACGTATTTAATTCATTGCAGTCCACGTCAAGCTATACCACAATCTGTATGAGCCCCTTCGAAGATAATAATATTTTGGATAAGGACGGTCCAACGTGGATTTTAGGCAATCTATTTCTCCGTCGGTATTATATAAAATTCGACATGGGGAAAAATCAAATGGGATTCGCCCCTATAAGATAAATAATTTCTTAAAATGTTACTGTTAAATGATAGAAGATTTAAATGACAATAATTGAATAAAGTTTTTTTAAAAAAAAATTGACTCTTGATTCTTATGGGTGTTATCTTGAAATTCTTTGTTTGCAATTATCTAAGCGATACAGTTAGATAAATACGTATGTTATATTTTAGAAAATTAGAACAGAGATGTGCAACATTATTTTTATTAATGATTTAGAACCTATTATTTCATATAATATTATGTATATTAATATTGCAAATTTGTATTTTAAACATATTTTGAAAATCTCACTTGGACTAGATATTGCTAAATAAATACAGTAGAAAAAGATAATCAAATGTGATTTCAATGCATGTATGAGAATTATATTTTCCGTATAAAATTCGCTTGCAAGTTGAAGAAATTTATCTTAATACAAGTTCCATGATTACATAAGAGAAGATACTATATCACACTAATAAATACATAATTAATAATAGTTAAACATTCTGCAAAGTGTGCACTATATTATTTTACTATCTTTTTCGCAAGATTTAATCTATATAAAAAAAGCTTCAAATAAATTCTGCATAAAATCGCTTTCTTAATTTCAAGCTAACATTTTTGGAATTTCGTCGTTTGTCTAGTTTTTAGTTTCTTTCCCGTACTCTTTTTGATTCCTATTTGGTTCTCAGATCTACAAACCGATTGACCAATTATCAATTCCAATATGAAGACTATAGTGGCGCAAGTATATCCCATGATGAGAAAATAAAAGCTGAACGCAAGCTGCTTCAGCAACATCACTTTAAAGCCTTTTTTCTTTGTATTATTCCTAAATCTCTCGTGTCTAATTTCTATGACAGAGTCAGCTTGGGATTTTTCGATTAAGCCGGCCTGCGCCATGTGTCGAATAATATCGTTCACCCGTTGGTACAATGGCCAATCTTCGCGAGTGACATATGATTTTGTCAATTCTAACAATTTTTTCGATCTAATAAGGTCTTGGTCCTTAATTCTGTAGTACAAATGGTGACAGTCCCCCAAACACACAGCGTTCGTCGAATTTTCTACGAATTTCTTGCATTCTTCATACGTGACCTCCACATAGCGTGATTCCAGTACAGGTTCGTTCAATAATAGTTTAAATTGAGGCGGTCCGTATATAATATATCTAGATTTCTGTAAAAAGACAAAGATAGTTCAAATATCAAACATATTGTATTATATTTGACATATATGTTATATCAAATGTATTATAATATATTTAATATTATACATATGTGTGTGTGTGTGTGTGTGTGTGTGTGTCAAAAATATAAATAAATATTTACATACACACATATCACATATTATCGATTAGTGATGTCGTGCTATCAAGCATCAATAATTTTATTTTAAGAGAAAAATAGCTTTTATTATTGTATTAAAGGGATCTGTCTGTTAAATAAAATTTAAAACATTTGAAGTTGTAATAAAATAAAAACGATATTGTTAAAGCCATTAGCTTCAAAATCTTCTCTTTTTTATTTAAAAAGATATCATTCGATATTTGCTATTCTTTTACAGAACTCTGTTTCTACCTCACAAAAGATAGGAAAAGATGACTTTGTTTTCGTTTAGTTTATGTTGATTATAAGTAATATGAATAAATATAAATATTTAGATTTGTCGTCGTGTATGTGAAAAGCGAACAATAAAATGAAACTTTATTATTACCTTAAGACTTTCTATAGTGTCAATATCGCGGTAATAAATCGGCACGGTGAGCAATGCCGACAGGTGACTTTGGAATAAAGCATTTATGTTGAGAAATAGAATCAATATCATGCATACAAATATTCTAGTAGAACTAATTTTTGGTGGATGTAAAATTCCCACGCAGATCACAAGTCTTATCACCTGTAAGCTGGCTTTTATGTACCCCTCGCTCTTCGTGAATAATGCATAAGCCAACAGACACATTATGACTATTCCTACTATCACTTCTGGTGACATGAACTTTATCAACTTGGTATATTGGGAGACTTTTGAACGTGGTTGAGCTATCACACAGATACCTGTTCTTGTATGGGGATATGTATATCTGAAAGATAAATATTATTTGATAATATTCTTGAGGCTTCCACGCATAATCTTTATATAAATGTTATTTATTTATTATTATTATTATTATTTATTAAATATTCTATTTATCATGAGATATTATATTATGACGACGTCGGCACCAGACAATTATCAGCTATAAAATTTCAAAAATTTTGACTATTTTTTCATACATTTGCCATAAGAGAGTTTTATCTTAGATTTGAATTCATAAAAACCGATTTTTCTTTTTCAAATAAAAAAAAATTAAAGAAGAATGTTAAGTTGGGGCCATTTTTCGGCCAAAATAAAAAAGTTCCGAGATATACAAATTATATTATATATCATATTAAACGGTTACTCAAGCGGATTAGAATGGTATATCGTTTATCTTGAAACATCAGACTCATAGGAAAATTCGCCTTTAAAATTCAGAGATTTAGATTTGAAAAAGTGATTACATAGAATTTTTCAATAAATACTACACATTTTTTCAGGACAATAGTAACGCATACCGAAGGTATTAAAAGTATTAAAAAAAAACAATAATGTTGCTTTTCATATTTTATTAGAGCTGCGTTCCAATTGACGCTCGTAATGCGATCATCGTTTATTCTTACTTTTTGTTAAACAATAGGATAAAATGATTCCCACAAGAGTTAAAAGCGTCTAGTAATATGTCCGTGTATTCTATTCTTACTACGTCTTTGGTATACGTATAGAGATTATAATAAAATTGTACTACGGTGAATCTACAGTAGTTATTAGTTTTATAGTGTTATACAATTATGACGTCAAATTGTACGTCTTGCAGAATTTCTCTTCTTAAAAAGAAGCTTTTGTAAATAATACAATTCTTATTACTCAATTCTTATCTTACTTTTTCTTATTTTTTCAATAAATATGATAGATTTATTTGTTTTGATTATAATTTCTCCTGTTTTCGACATTTCCCCAAAATAAGTGATGTATTCAACTTCACTTAAGTACTATAATATGATGTATAATTTGTACATCTCGAAACTTTTTTATTTTGGCCGAAAACGGCCCTAACTTAACATTCTCCTTTGCAGATCTTCCTTTAATTCATTTATTATTGTTTTACCTGGTTTTCCACAATATAAACAAGCGTCTCGTATTCATGCCCATGTCTATTTTGCCGTCGCTCAAAGGAGCCATCAAACCCTCTAAAGTACCATTCGGTCCTATACCGCCGAGTCCGTAGATACTGCCGTTATAAATCTTGATTGACAGAGACGCTTTTAATTTGTATAATAATATCTTGATGATTTCGCTATTATCGCCGCGAAATTTCTTTTCATCCGATAAACTCGAATCGATTTTTATATACGGTTCCATTTCGACGACGTTCAATCGGACCTTATAGCCTTGCAAAGTTATCGTTTTATCGAAATTCAGATTTTTGCACATCTCTGTTTCTAAAGAAAATACAATGATTGTCATATAAATTCTTTAAAAATGATTTGTGCTTCAAAATGCAAAATAGTGCAAACAATATTACTAGATTTTTTGTCTTGGAACATTTATTGCTTATTAGCTTTTAATTAATTCTAATACAATTTATTTTTTAATACATCTATATGGAAACATGCATTAGATCTTATAATGCTATAATTATTTTTTCTAATATCGTAAAATTTTAAGTCTTTTTAAGTTTAATTAAAATTTCAAATCATTATATAAGTATTTAATTTTATATGTGTATTTTATATTTGTAACACTCGAGTGTAATTAATAATGTGTTATAGGACAACGTAATATTTTAAAAAATTTTTTAAATAAAATTCATGTAATATAAGTAAAGATAAAATTTCCTTTTACATTAGGGAACTCGAAAGTTAATTCGTTTATAATGTGTTTCATCAGACGTAAAAAAGTTACCCTTTTCAAATTTTCTTTTCAACATTATCCAAGGATGACCCTCTCGTCCTTTCATGCGGCCTACTTCATTCCAATCCGCTGGCGTATTGTTAGAATACGGATTAAATGTGTAATACACAATTCCTTCGTATGGATCGATGCATGGAAATATAACAGAGAGCAAGTCATATTTCCATGCCGTCCAAAGAAATAAACGAGCGTTTATACAACCTCGTGTTTCAGTTTCTTTATCAACTATAATATAAAATCCATCCGGATTCGCCCACGGTGAATCTTTTGTTCTCTGTAATGAAAATATGAATGGTACGACGATACTATTATATTATTTTTACTTAAAAACAAAACTAATTAACCTTCAGTTAATAGTAGAATCACTCTAGACCTAAAGTATTTTGAGTATTCTCTAATTAATGGATATTCATTAATTTTTAAAGATTACTCATATATATTTTTTTATCGCAAAAGTTTAAAAAACCAAAAACTGCTGTTTTTTATTATTGTTCTGTGTACTACATTTTATATGGAGCAACTCTTTTTGGTTATCCAATAGAGTTAGAAATAATTCAGCCACAGTTCTCCAAAGAATATTCCTTTGTAAGGTTAATATTCTTATGAAAAAAGTCAAATTTTTAGAAAAAGATTTGTTTCCAACAAGAAAATTTAAATTAGTCAAATACTTATATAGAATTAATACAATATTTTATATATAGGAATTTGTTTTCGTGTTAAAAATTGGATTACAATTCGAGCCGTGTGGGCGGGCGCGTTGTGTAGCAAAAAAATCTCTTTCTTTCCAATGGTCTGATCGAACACATTGAATCCTTTTTTAAAAATCAATGGAAGGAAAGAGATTTTTTTGCTGCGTGACACGACTGAAATTGTGACCCAATTTTGAGCATAAAAACAAATTCTTATGCTTCATCACTCTCCATAGTTGATTTAGCTTCGTTTACTTTTTTTCTGTTTCCTCAACTCAAGTAGTTACACATGAAGAGAGAACGCTACGACGATTTAAAAGATATCTAAGCTAGGG